CTACCACCACCAGCGGCTCGGACGTGAACGAACAAAGCCTCTTCATTTCCACGTCTCTTTCAGATTCGACTTCTGCAAACGTGGCAGTGCTGTCCCGGGAGAGGAACGTCATTAGATTTTCGCAGAGGGCCGAGAGATGCGACATCCCTCTAACTGGAGTTGGCTTCTCAATATCTCGCAAGAGTAGTGAATTTTATTACTGCCATTTATCTCAGCGGATCCTTCCAGTGCTTCTAGAGTAAGAAATTCTGTTTCAAGATATCGTTTTGCAATACCAAGGTACTTCAAAGAAAAAGTGCTTTTAAAAATCCTACTTCTACCTAGAAGAAAAAGAAGAAAAGGCATCTCAGGCCAGAGAATACTGATGGCTCATAGGGTGCCATCCGAGGCTGGGGGCAGGGAGGGGGGAGGTTGCCCCCCTGTACCTGTACGCTCTCCCACCGTGGGGCCTTCACAAAGTCTCTTTTGTGGGGGACAAGCAGCCTGCTCCTTACAAATGCCCCAGCGCCCGGCCCGGCCAGCACAGTCACCTGATGAGCCAGGCTGGAGCAGCGGCCAGGCGCCTTCGGTGAGGGCCTCACCCAGCCTCCCTAGGGAGCTTCCTCTCTATCCCACGCTCCCTGCCAGCACAGCACCCAGCGGGGAGAGCCCACGACCTTCCCTGAGTCTGTGACTATACCGTGGGTACCCCAGCAGGATGGGAGGGACCTTGAAGACTGATCACGCCTCTATGGGGGGAGGGGACATCATCTTTGACCTTGAACCAACAGTTGTAGGGGGCTGTACATGGGGTAGTGGAAGTTTTGGTCCATAGAGGACACCGAAAATGGCTCATGCATCCTGGTCTTGGGCACTTAGCTGTGCATCATGAGAGGGTCGGCCAGCAGTAACTACCAGATTCCTGCCCTGTATACAGTATAACCTTCGACCTGCATTTCAGTTTGATTAGTTTGTTATTATGTAGCTTACAAATGTACCAAGAAAATCATTCTTAAAGCGAATCTTGAAAAAGACAAAAATTACAGAGAAGCAATTCATTTACATAATCCCTAGAGAAACAGCATCGAAAAGCTCAAGTCAAAGATAATTCCATTGACAATGGACTTATAACAAAAACGGAATCATAATTTTTCGGAACTTCGGATAATCTTCAAATTTCTCAAGGTACCACCTAAAATAAGAAAAAAGGACTTTAGAAAAGGAACTAATTTTGTCACTTAAACATTTAATAAATGCTAACAAAAGGGGCAATATTTTTTATTACAAAGGCAGAGTTTTTAAAAGTATTAATAAAAACTTGGGCATTTCAGATACACAGTTTGGTTTTGTCTATACCGCAAATAATTAAATATATCTGATTACAAAGCGTGATTTGCAAGAAGTGACCCATATAATTCACCTTTATACTGGCAAGGGAAATCACTGACGTGTGATCAAGATGCTGACCAGTGTTCGAGAAGGCTCCCTTCTAGACCCCGGAAGCATGCAGACTGGGGGACAGGGGGAGCTGAGTGTCTGCCGGTGGCTCGGATTGCTTTGTCCAGTCCCCAGGAGAGAACAACTGCCCCAGACACGGGGTCTGCAGAAACGACACCCACCCTGGTGACTCAAACAGCCACGGGAAGATGCCACATGGGCTTGTTTCAGAGCACGCGGAGCAAACAGGTGTCTTCTGTTTTGATATAAATTATCTCACCGAAAGCATGCTCATTCGTTTTTGGGGTACCGGCTAGTTGGGAAGGGTTTGGAAACTAAGTGGATGGGGTAAATATTTCAAATAATTTGACAAGATGAAGAAATCGGCGGAAAAAAACAAGTTTCCATAAGCACGGAAGAATGCTCGAGAGACTAAAACTCGTGATGGAAAACGACTCGCTATTTGTTAATATGGTAAAAGTCTAGGACGGCGGCACACCGGAAGCGACTCGGCGAAGTCCTGTCGATTTCAGATTTTAGAGAAGTTTAGCGCTGAAACCCACAAACACAGCGGCATAACAGACGAGCGCGTGTCCTTCCAGATGCTGTTCTGTGGACCCAAAGAGACAGGTGGCTCCTGACGGCTGGGCTCGTCTTCCCACAGCTGCCTCGTTTTCCGCTAGTTTAGCCAAAGCACGATACGACCCGGGGTTCGTGCACCCGAACTGATATCGACGTTTCAGAAATCTCCCCTAAACATTGGTATAATAAGGTCAGAGAACAAACCGAAAAGGCCGAGTGTCGTGCAACTCACCGGTGATGCTGCCTCGCTCTGCAGAGCAGGACACAGAAGGTGAACAGGGCGAAAGCCGCACCCTGGACGGACCAGCTGGCCAGGCCGTAGCCACACCACTCCAGCACCTCCCCAAAGTAGTTGGCTGTGCTCACGTACTCGAACAGGCCTCCTGGGGAAAGGCGGGGACAGGCAGCACACGGGCTGTGAGGTGAGGGACACCGGCTTCGGAGGTAGACTCACTCGAAGCACATCAACTCGACTATCGGAAAATACAACTCTCACAGAATTTTCATCAGGAAAACATGTCCAACGTTACTAGTTTTACTATCACAACTTCTGGTAGTGACGACGTCCCTGTATCGATACCTCGCTATCTGAACATAAAAACGCTACGGTTTTCACACACTTTAACATATCGCTTTACTGCTTAATGGGTCAAGCTGACGAAGCCTGAGAAAGGGCAGAACACAGAATCGCGATTAACGAACGAGCTTAGAACTCAGAGCATGCTACACAGAACTCTAGACCCAAGATTGGAAAAAATATTAATTTTCAAGGTCATAGCTATTCATTCATGCGTGCATGCCCGCATTAATGCAGGCGTGCATTCACTCACTTACTCTTCAAGTCTTCACAGACCGATCGCGTCTACTTGACGGGCTAGACCCTGATCTAGGCACTTGGGGTACACTGTGGACAAGACCTCCTGCCTGGAACACTAAACCTAAGTGTGATAAACAAGGAAGGCATAGAGTATGGCCGAGGGTGTGGACTGCTGTGAGGAGCAAGGCAGGGTGACAGGGCCCAGCCAGCCGGGCGAGGGGTGCAGGGAGGTCGTGGTCACAGACGGTGCAGGGGAGGCTGGATCCAAGGCTTGTGGGGAGAGTTGGGCCGCAGCTGCGGGGCGGAGGCCTCCAGGCAGGACAGCACAGGGCCCGAGGCAGAGCGCTGAGCTGCACCCTCTGTGGGCCACCTCCGGGCCCCAGTTCCAGTCGTCGCAGATGTGGAGTGGGGGTCCAGTCATCTGTGGGTGTCACGCCGCTTCCTCTCCTCCTTGTATGATGTCAGGTGGGTGAGTGGAAGGGTTCAGACCACACGCAGCTGTGTGCTTTCCAGCTCCACGGAGGCTTCAGCTTTACGGACCACATTTTTTTATTTGTTATTTTAGAGGCTCCACTGATTTCTACCTTATATTCACTTTGTCCTTTTTCTAGCGTATCACTCTTTTACTCACAATTTCAATCCCTTTTTTCTTTTTTAAAACGTTTAACTGCGTATAATCTGTTTCTAGTAACTCTAAGATCAGGTCTCTCACGTTGAGTCGTGCCACATTTCCCATCACCCTCCCCCCGCCCCGGGTCTGCAACTTTCAAGTGTGGGGTCCTCGGCACGTGGTCCGTTGGGCTCTTGGAGGCCTGAGTTGAAGGTGGGTCCCTTGGGAGACCTGGGCGTGCACTGGCCGATGTGTGAGGGAGGACACCACCTCACTAGGACCACACGGGTCACACGGATCATGGCTTGAGGTCTTCCAGACCAGCTACGTGGCATGCATTTGGGCTACGACCCACATGCGGGCTGCAGATTCTCCCACGTGCATTCTGGACGTTAGCTAGCACTCACTCGGACTGGGCCCCCTGATGAGGTCTCCCTTTCCTGGCATCACGCTCATGCGTTTAAAGAGATTTCCAAGAAATTTCACGCAACGTTATTATGTTCAGAGCGGGGCGGTCGGTCGGGGTATCTATCCTTATGGAGTAGCATTGCCGGCAATGAAGTATTAGACACCCCTCGCAAACCATGAATTCTTCCTCCTGCTCTCTCTCCAAAGGGAGTTAACTGGAGTTTCCTTTTTTGCTTAGCAACCCTTTGGTTGGCCAGAACGGGTTCTTTTATCCTTCCAATAAAACAATCATCCCAGTGACCGCATTAACGACAGTGACTCACGTCACTACATTAACGATAGTGACTACAGCGAATATATACCGCGCTGGTTGTTCGACGCGGCGGAGCTAAAGCAGCTGCAGGACGTGCTGCCCCTTCTAGTACGTACCCCTCGGGATTCCGTACCCGGTCTGCCCTGGCTGCCTGAGGTTCCTCAGGATGCCATCGGAGTGGATGTTTATCAGCATGCCCGTGAGCCACAGGACAAAACCTGAAGACAAGAAATGCACAAGGGGATTACGGTTAATGAAGTCCTGAACGGGCGAATCCGCGCCTGAACGACCAGCATCGGGGTCATCCTTCGCGATGTCACGGTGACTATAACCAGTTAGCCATCATTGATAGTGATAGTCGTGATAGTAAACATCGTCCTTGACTTAGAAAGATGATTCATAAGCACTGCTCTCAGAGGTGCTCAGTAGGGCTTTGTTTTTCTAATAATATTAATAAATGATCTGATCCATTCAAACTGCTTTGACCTGACGGCCCCGATCCGTGTTTCTAGGATGACTGGTATGATTGAAAACACGACTTCTGGCTCTGGTACGAGGCTCACTCCTTGGCCCGCGAGACTGACTTATCGTCACGACAACTGCGTGAAGCGTGACAGCCCCCTCCTCTCGGCAGAGGAGGACAGGTGACGTATCAGCACGTGCTCCACCGTGGCACAGGACGGGTGCTGGTTCCCAGCTCATCTCCGGTCCTCCTCTCTTCTTTCTTTATGACCACGTCTGAACAATTCCACACACGTCCACGGCGCCCACCCGTGCAGCCAGCACTCCTGGGTCCTTCGCCACCGCCAGCTGCCTCCCACGCGCTTTCCCTCCCACACTTCCAGGCCATCCACGGCGCCCCCCGGCGCAGCCAGCACCCCTGGGTCCTTCGCCGCCACCAGCTGCCATCACACAGCCTCCCACGCGCTTTCCCTCCCACACTTCCAGGCCCCGGAGGGTTCGCATCGCTTCAAGGAGACTTCTTAGTGTCACATCAACCAATCCCAACAAAGGCAAAATGCCGTAGTAGTGTTTTATGAAAGAAATAACTTGATTCGATAAAAAGAGTTAATTGATTGTTCTCAGGTATTTGAAAATGTGAAAGGCAGAGAGATGATGCTTCATGATGGTGCTCCATTCAACATCGAAGAAACATGCCCTTGGAGTAACATTATTGTCAGATACTCGTCAGCTACCCCAGCGGCGTTAAATCGTTTTTCACAGGTAAAACAGGGCCATGTAAAGCGTTCTGGTCTGCGGTGAGGGTTTCGAGGTCTCCTCCACTGGAGGCATCTTTCTTTCTAAACAGTTCCTACGAAACTTTGTAACATGTCTCATAAGTCACTTATGGGATCCATAAATTTATAGTTGATTTGCTACATGTTTTACATTTCATTATGTGACTTCTGGATGATGGGGCCCCCAATTTGAGGTTCCAGAAAGAATCTTATTTTCAAAGTTCCATGCTTACTTTATTTCTCTTCTAAGAGACAAGCTCCTTTTGCTGCCTAGTTTGGCAAGACTGGTAGTATTTGTATTTTTAAGCTAAACATTTAATTCCGTTTTGGGGGATCTTAAAATCTTTGTTTAAAATCTTTTTGATTAATGACTCTCACTGCTCTGGAAAACTTTTTGTTCATATACTATCATTATTGCTGGCTTAGCTCTTCATGGGAACTATTGGAAATGTAATTAATTATCCATGTAACTTCATGTTTGTCTCCTTACAAAAACTTTAAACTCTATTAAATAAATACAAAAAAAAAAAAAAAGGAATCTAGTATTGGCATATTTTCCCATTTTTGATTCCTTCTGTTCGAACTGTAGAGAAGCCGAGAAGTCTGTATACGAATTATCTTCAATTTCACACCAGCTTCCAAGGCTTCTGCAGGGGACGGAGCCTGTCACAGAGCTCCCTTAAATGACATTCGAATTCGCAGACCAAGAGGATTCCTTCGTTTCGTTGTCGTTCATCAAAAGTATCCCAACAATTCATCAGATAAATGATCCCCGTGAGAATCGCAAACACACACGAAACCCTTTCTTATTTTTTGGATTTAAAAAGTCTCCTCCTTCCTGTCCCTCCTTGGCTATTCTTGGGGAACTGGTGTGGGGAGCGGGTTTAAGCTCCTGCTCTGCCACGTACTTAGCTTAGATCCTGGGCCAGCGGCTTAATCCTCTGCCCTTTTCAGAACCTTGGGGACACAGAAGGCATGTGTGCAGCTCCCCACTGGTGGCCAAGCCTGCTCTTTCTCCTCGTCAAGGTCAGGGCAGAACATCGGGCGGTCAAAAGCGGGATTGGCATATTTTCCCATTTTTGATTTCTTCTGTTCGAACTGCAGAGAAGCCGAGAAGTCTGTATACTGAAATTGATTTATCTTCAATTTCACACCAGCTTCCAAGGCTTCTGCAGGGGACGGAGCCTGTCACAGAGCTCCCTTAAATGACATTCGAATTCGCAGACCAAGAGGATTCCTTCGTTTTGTTGTCGTTCATCAAAAGTATCCCAACAATTCATCAGATAAATGATCCCCGTGAGAATCGCAAACACACACGAAACCCTTTCTTATTTTTTGGATTTAAAAAGTCTCCTCCTTCCTGTCCCTCCTCGGCTATTCTTGGGGAACTGGTGTGGGGAGCGGGTTTAAGCTCCTGCTCTGCCACGTACTTAGCTTAGATCCTGGGCCAGCGGCTTAATCCTCTGCCCTTTTCAGAACCTTGGGGACACAGAAGGCATGTGTGCAGCTCCCCACTGGTGGCCAAGCCTGCTCTTTCTCCTCGTCAAGGTCAGGGCAGAACATCGGGCGGTCAAAAGCGGGTACGTTGAGAAGAGGTTTGGGGGCAGCATGCAAACTGGACACTTCAGTGTTTCACGGCTATTTGGGCGCGGTGTATAAACGAAATAATGGAGTCGGGCGTGTCAGGGTGGCACGGATTCGCAGAGCTGCAAAACTTTCTCATCCACCCCTTCTTTGAAAGACGAGAACCCGGATCCCTCACGACGATTCTCAGGCATGATCAGGGCACTGCCCTGGGGAAAAAATTTCAATTCGCAGAAAAAAACATGACTGAGAAATGTAAAAGTGCCTTATAGTATTCAAATGTTAGTTGTTCTCTATTATTACACATTTAGAGAGAGAAAAATCCAAATGAAATGTGAGGTCATTTTATGGAGCTTTGGGCGAAGGACTGTGAGTGGCCTGAAAATGTGACGGACAATTTGATCTGCGTATGTGACCATGGGGGCAAGTCACATCTGACTGTGCTAGAATTCCTAAATGCCTGGAGGATAAACCACATAAACAGCTTGAAGAATTTTCCTTATAAATAAGAGCTCCAAGAGCACCTATGTTTAATGTTCTTGCAAATATTTTTGATTGTTAATGTTTTATTTTCATTTTTCCTCAGAAGTTGGTTATAATTAGAACTTGAAATGTACCTTAGTTTACATTAATAGAGAAAAGTTTCAAAAACTTCACAAATGTAAAAGTTTATTCAACTTAGTATAATCATAAACCATGTAATCGCCTCGTTGGAAGATGTCCCAGTCTAACTTTTTTCACCTTCCAGAAGGAAGTGTAGGAGGTGTGTGACTGTCTTAGATTACCTGCCCAAGCTGCCCCCCTGAGCGGCTGCTCACTCTGCTGGAGCTTGTGGTTTTTAGGCTCACCTTACGAACAGGTATTTGTGCTGTCGGTGTCTGAGTGGGTGCAGGTGCTGCGTACCTGTGTCAACACCCGCCGCTGGGCCGAGCTGGGACACCCTGAATCCCTCCAGCACTCCAGCCCCCCTGCAACTAGGTCATAGACCATCGCAAACTCTTTGTTCTCTCAAGAAGTGTGGGCTTTTTAACTAGAAATGACTGGGACCTGAAAATCGAAGTTATGCCTGGAACGGTGGAGTGCATCATTAGGGACACGTACCTGCGAGGAACCGGGGGTCGGTGACCCAGTCGTCAGCATACACGGCGTAGTGGCTTAGGTATCTGCTTTGCAAGTAGCCATTATAGGTGCAGAACACAAATGCCATTACGCACACGTACCATGATGTCGGCTTTCCTCCTCGGATCAGGAATGGGAAAATCAGAGACCTTAGAAAACAGAAACCAGAAACAGATTAAAAACGACAGCAACAACACCGAAGACTATCTTTCCTGCAACTCTATTTTAAGGGTCTTGAGTTTTGATCTGGCTTCTGCGTACAAAGTCATTCTCAGGAACACTTGTGCTGCTTTGCTGCATCTGTTAAAAGCAGAATTTCTAAAGAATTAACCATGTTTCAATAAAGTACGCCACGGCACGCAAACTCGAGAGTCTTACTATATAGAATGTGAAACAGACATGCTGAGTTACAAAAAACCGAAGCCTACGCGAGGCTTGTAGAATCTCCACTATCCTAAAACCCATTACTTGGTCTAGTCCGAGCAATATGGTTTGGGGGACACCACTTTCTCACCCATCACCAACACAATGGTTCTTGAGCGCCCATCACCTACCAGGCCCCCCAGCTACCTGCACAGCAGACACTTCACACACACTCAAAGGGACAAGACTGACTCAGAAGGGTTAAGATTAAGTAACCTGCTCAAGGTCATAGGGCTAATGAGTAGCTGAGTGTGAGTGTACATCTGGGTAATTTGAAGATCATGTTCCTCTGGCACGCCACACTGGCTGAGGTGCACACTACTAAAAGTTCACGGAGTTAAACTATAAGAACGAGAAATCAGAAACTTGCGAAGAAAAGAAGATGCAAAACTTTATTTTGTGTTGGGAGTTTTTTCTTTAAAGTCATGGCGTAGTACATTTAAAGAGGGGGCGTCACTACATATCCTACAGACCTTACAGAGATATTAAGAAACTATTATCAACATCTTCATGCCAATAAATTTGAGAAACTAGATGAAGAGACAGACAAAATACTTTAAAAGCCACAGGTGACCAAAACTGACCCAAGAAGAAACTGACAACTTGAAAAGCCTTCTATCAAATAAAAGAAATTGAATTTACACTTACAAAATTACAAAAAGGCAAAACCAGAGGCAGGGGACAAGATTAACTGCGAAGAGGCATGAGGAATGTTTAGGGAAGCTACGACTGTTTGTATCTCTGTTGTGGCGCTGACTACACAACCGTACGCCATTGTCAAAACGAGTCAATCCACAGACTTAAAATGAGTGATTTTATTTTGTGTAAATTATACCTTAAGACAAGGGAGAAACGGAAAAGCTTATTAGTTGCTTCCATTTTGGCATCGACTCCAGGGTGAATACATAACTAATCACCAACAGTAAGGGCCAAAGCAGTCACATAACGTTGGCCACGCATCCTCAGGGCGTTCTCTCCCCAGCAGCCTCACTCAGCTCCTTGGGATGATGTACACCTGAATCGGAAGCGGCCTTCGAGGTTCTCATCTTGGTTAGGCCAGCTTCCCCCAAGGAGGCATCATTCAGGTTCCAGCAAAGTGCCGGCTGGATATTAAGCACCCACCTGTTGGGCCATGATGCTGTCGGGGAGGCAGTTACTCGCCTGGAAGCTATGGTTTGGGCAAGCGTCTGAAAACGGGGAATCGCAGCCAATTCTCTCTGCATCTGACCACATGGGCAGACAGTTGATACAGCGGGCTGGCATTTGAGATGCTGGCTCACTGCAGGAGTAGGATTCGGTCTCGGTTAGGGTACCTGTGTGCTTCCTGGACCAGTAGGCTCCCTTACGAACAGGCGGAGATTTCGATCAGGCGTTGTTGCAAAGGGGCTTCTCCCCATCCCTGCTTCTCAGGGCAGAGGACTTGTGTTCGACCCAGAGGACCCGACCGACGGCAGAGACAACATGGTTGTCACCCCAGCCTTGAGTGTGCAGACTCGAGAGGAACCAGGAGTAAACAGCTTCATTTCTGAAGCCAGCTCAGGGGATTCTCTAGCCATGGGGACATCGTAAAGGGACCGTGGGATGAGAAGGTTGAGAGAAAATGTCCCAGGCGGCGATGGCCTCCATAAATTGTCCAGGAAGCTAACTGCAGGATAGAGCTGAGAAAGTGTTAGAATTCTGAATTTGAAGAAATATAGAAAAAAGAAAAAGAAATAAAAATTATGGGAGAGGCAAGGGCTAGACTTGGTTTAGAGAGATTCCTGATAAACTGGAGAGTACTCAGTTCCTAAGAGAGTCAAACTGTTGACCTGAACCAAATCCATGCTAAATTCAACACAGGATACTAGAAACGCAGGTCAAAAACGGAGGGGAAAATACTAAGAAGCTTGAAACACACAGAACAGATATAAAAAAAATGGTTCGAGGAAGTCTTCTGGGCTCCATGTCACACTTTCTAAATCACAGATGGACTTAAAGGAGCGACTCCGAGGAAACGGTCTGCGAACGTGGTAGACGCTTCCCTCCTGGATATGAAGAGAAGCCTCGGGCTGTCCCTCTGGGACAGGAGCATCTCGTTCTCAGCGAACACTTGCTAGGTTTCTCCCAGTTCAGTTTCAAGTTCAGGGCTGACTTCTGAACGATGGACAAACACCGGCTGGCACCTCGTAAACGTGGAGCCCAAACCCGTCCTGTGCTTCCTTGCGCCCCCTTCCTCCCTCCATCACTGACGTCCCGTGACCGTGTTAGCCGCCCGAGCCTAGATCGCGTATCAGCAAAGCGAGTCGACCACCTGTTTTTGTACAGTCCGCGAGCTAACAATGTTTTTTTACGTTTTTAAATAGTGGGTTAAAAAAAAAAAACCAAAAAAAAACCCGAAAGAATATTCCATGACACGTGAAAACTATACAAAATCCAAGTTTCAGTGTCCGCAAATAAAGCCATACTGGAACACGGCCAGGTCCCCTGTTTACGAACTGCCTGCGGCTGCCCCTGCGGACTTGTGCGGTGACAGAGCCTGTCTGCGGCGACCTCGGCCCTCCGCGCGGCGGCTTCGTACGCTGTGCGGTGCCACGGCTCAGTGTTTCGAGCGTCACACGTACCCTCGTGTGACACGTTTCAGTGCATTCCACTCTTAGGGATGCCCGTCACGTCGAGACAAGAAAACTGACCCCTTTGTGCTTTGGCACAGTGGACTGTGTGTGATGGTGTTATTTTATCAGAGGGCAAAGCGATGACCTGAGGGCTATGCCACAAGGACATGTCACCACACTGCGTGCTCCTCACAGGAACCCCAACCCACGGAAAGGCAAAGGACAGCAAAGCAATGAGAATTTAACACAGAAGCTCCTCACTGGAGGGGTCCCCTACCCCAGGGCCAGCCGCCACAGACAGGTGGGGGTCTTTTAGGAACCGGGTCACACAGCAGGAGGCTGGCGGCTGGTGAGCGAGCGAAGCTTCATCGGTATGTGCAGCTCCCCAGCGCCAGCATCACCGCCTCGGCTCCGCCTCTGATCCTCAGGCGTTAGATTGTCACAGGAGCACCGGTCCCCGGTGCCAGAAAGGCTGGGGACCGCTGCACTGCAGAATTTCTTTAGGAAAGAAATGGAAATGACACCACAACCACAGGAAGCTACCAGGTGGCTCTCCTGTTGGGCAAGCAAGAAGAGCCACGCAGAGATGGGGCACTCCCTCAGAGGCAGCAGCCAGGAACATGTCTGGAGGGGACAGACTTGTTTGACACCATCAGCCTCTCCTGCGGGAGCAGCCGCTTGAAGAGTCTGGACACCAGGAGTGATGCCAACAGTCAGCTAAAAACAAGGCTGACGATGGAGAGAGCGGTCATCCTTGGCTCCTGCTGGGCCCATGGATGCCACTAATACCGCCAGACTGTCTGCTCCAGGACTCAAGGCCAAGGCTGACGTGATGAAGGGACAGGCTCTCTAAGCAGCCTGAAGGGAAAACCAGAGTGAGAAATTGAGGGGACTCTACATGGGTACATCCCGGAGTGGGATCTGCCAAGACTCCGTGTTGTAAGTGATGGTGGCAAGAATGTGTGGAACAGAAAAATGGACCCATTACAAATTTACAAAACAGGTGAAGATGTGAGGTGTTTAAAGCTGCTCCATGCATCGGCAGGTACTTTGCAGAACAATCTACTGCACCTGACTGAACAACCGTGTCAGCAGAGAATCTGACATTCCCTCCACAGACTTAACCCCATTTTGAGCTCAGAGCTGAGATTAAAATTGTTCTTAATGAGAAAAATTGGCTTCAACCACTATTACTGAGTTTTAAAGGACTGGAAATTAGCTTTTGCTGCAGACTTGGTAATGTTTCTTAGTGAATTTGACCCAAAATTGTAAGGGAAAAAACATCAATTAGGTGTAAAACTTACACTGTGTTTAAGTCATTTCAATGACAACTGATACTGTTTGGACCACAAGTCATGCTTTATGTACTTTCTATACTTTTAAAGTTAAAAGAGGTGGCGAGGTCTTCATTCTCACGGACATTTGCAATGGATGTAATTTCTAAGTCCAGACTTAGAAATTCGGCCTTTTGAATCTTGATTTCCATATTGCAAAAAGCATGTAACTGTAATTGAGGAGTTGCCACCTAATTTTCAACAGGAAGACATTAATCTACAAAGTAACGACATACTAAACAGCAAATATCAAGAAGAATCTAATAGAATTTCATAAATGCCTTTCAAGCAATGAATATACTAAGTTAAAAGTCAAACTTGTGGGCTGACGTCACTATTTGGCAGTGCCTACCTGTGGGAAAAGATGGTCTCAAAGATAAAATTTCATCACAGATCAACGCCAGGACATGAACATTTACAACACACTTTGGTGCTAGGGACACTAACTCTGAAGCCCCTTGTGTCCCTGGCACTGCCCTGTGCACATGAGGGACCCCAGGAAAGTCTCCCAGCTTTGTGCACAGCTTATAACAGGTGTAAATGCTGTTGGTGCTTCTGCTCTCTTCCGAGCACCCGCTGATGTAGGTCAGGTGGCCGTTTAATAAATTAGTTGCTTGGGTAGAATGGAAAATGTTTATCTTTTCTAGTTGGAAAATTTCAGTGTCCCAAAACCACACAGGCTACGTGTACAGTTACACATCAACTTGAAAAAAAAAAAAAAAGAAAACAGCCCAGCAGTTTAAAAAATTACCCCTGACCCAGCAAATCCTCTGACCTAGGGGTTTTGAAAGCCACTGGTCTAGGTGCCAGAGGTGGGAGTCCCAGAAACCTCCGGACCGAGGGCCTTGCGTAAAACACCCGAACGCTGTGTCTAGTGGCCTCGTTCGTATGAGAGGATCTACTCAAGTTCTGTTACCATAGCAGTGGCCTCGGCCCCTCGGGATGTGCGTTCACTCTCCCGTTCTTTCGCTAGGGTGAGCCTGGAAACCAACATCCTGCTTTCAGACGCTTCGCTCCAGGCTTCCACACAAAGCTCTGTGAAGCGCTCCCTTCGTGTCCAGTGTCACATCTTCAAAAACTCTTTCGTGGCACTCGGGGCTGCAGTGGCACATATAAATGACACGCAGCATGTCCATGGACACGCCTACTTGCACGGCAATGCAAAATGGCATTATTCATCTGTATTGAGCATTAAGATTTGCCAGTGCTGTGCAAGCATTTGACGGAGCTGCCTTTACCGAATGCCGACGCCGCAGGCTGGTGCCGTCGCTGTGCCCGTTTCATAGGCAGGGACACCTGCTGCAGAGCAGCTTCGTAACAGATCTCGGGGCCCCAGTGATGAGGCCGAGATAACACCTGGCGATCTGACCTCAGCGCTTGCTTTTAGCCACTAGAGAAACAGACGAACACGGGTTCTGGCGTAATCATGGACAAGCGTATACAGTTCCAAGAGTTCTACTGATATTCAGATTGCAGTAATGTCAATCATATCACACACAAAAAAATTAGCAGTCGGGCATCAACTTTGCTTAACGGAATACTTTTGGAGCGTCTGGAGCACAGGACTCAGAAACCGTGTTGAACACCGACTCTGTTCGTTTAAAGTGTCTGCATAAAAGCAGAGAAGCACCACTGTACCGGGACGCCTGCGTGCTGATGACTGAACTGAGAAGAGGCTCGTAGGCAGACAGGAAGACACACAAACACACTCGTGTTTACTTCCTTCCACCTCTCTGTGCAGTGGGTGTGATGAGGTGGGGCCCAAAAGCAGAGAGGTAGGGCACCTGCCCACATGCACATAAGTGAGCCCAGCTTTCTCGGATGCAGACAACTTCCGTTTATACTGTGTAGGCTTCTGAAGTCTGAATGGAAAGTTTAAAATTTTCATTTCTGGCTTCTGTTCAGCCATTTGATTTAGCCCAAACCTGAGAGCTGGAGAGAGCCCCAACTTATCGGAAGAACCCCAAGCTCTCAGACACAGCCATTCAAAATTCTTCACAAAAATCAAAACACTTGGAAGTCATCTTTAAGACCATATGTGTTTAAAGCCATCACTTGGAAACCTACTCTCACAGTCCCAGGCCCCCTGCATAATGTGAAGGTGAAAGTCCCAGCAGTGACCAATTTAAAGAGGGATCACAAAGTCTTTTCATTAAAGTCGCTTTCCAGGTGATCACCTGGCCAAGAAAAAAAACAGCCCCACCCACAACAGATACCCAAGTGGAAAAGGAACCAGAAACAATCGCTTTGGGGTTTCACCTTTGGCCAGACTCTCTGGTCTTGAACAAAGCCCAGGACTGTTGCGCAGCTAACACTCTCTGGGTGCAAGTTGTTTTTTTTGTTTTTTAACCCTTTTCTATTACTCACTTCTAAGTCTTCTAATGTCTCCTCTACTTCTCCAGACTAATATTGTTTCTAAGCCAACTCCTTGCCTCAGGGCACAGAGGATGGTGTGCTGTGTGTAAGGAGGGGACCCCAAAGACTTGGGGTGTGTGGGGGGGAACCTCACAGGGAGAGGATCACAAGAAGGGGTCCACAGGGAGAGTGTGCTTGGGGGTGAGAACACCGAGTGACCTCACCAGAGATGACAAGGGGAGATAAGGCTACACGGAGATGGTGCTGGGTTGGGGAAAGGAGCAAGTAATGAGTGGACTATGGGAGATGGAGCCAGGGCGAGGGCAGCGAAGTACAGGTGATGAAGGCTGAGGGACCCGGGGCGGGGACGCAGGTAGAGAAAGCCGGGCCAGTGACACAGAGTAAGACGGCCAGGGGCGCAAGCAGAGGGAGCCCGGCTGGGGTGGGGTGCGGCGCAAGCAAGGGGAGCCGCGGGAGGGGACGCAAGTAGAGAAAGCCGGGCCAGTGACACAGAGAGTAAGCTGGCCAGGGGCGCAAGCGGAGGGAGCCGGGCCGGGGTGGGGTGCGGCGCAAGCAAGGGGAGCCGGGCCAGGGACGGGGCGCAGACA